CTGGGGTTGGACCACTGCCGTTCTCCAACACCGACATCTTGAGAGCGTAAAAATGCAAAAGCGATGTGGTCAGCGACGACTGTTGGTGAACGCGATGGACGCTTCTGCAGTGGGTGGTGTTGTTGTGAACATTGGCTTGGATTAACTGTTAGTGAATACGATTCTTGATGCTTGCTGTGGAATAGAGTTCTCGCGGCGGCTCCTGACTGGAAGAACTTGACAACCAGGTTTGCGGCCATCTACACCTATGTCCGCCAAAGGTCTATTGTAACAGTACCAGGCATTGTCTCTGCATGTGACAGACAAGTCAGCGTATCACGTCATCCGATGACGCGACCTGAAACCTTATGCGAATGATCGCCGCCATGTGGAAGATCACGAAACTCCATCATCTACAATGGATTCTTTGTACTTGCTCGGGGGGGGATTATTTTGTGGGAAAGGAAAGTGATTTGATTTCAGCTCTGCACCATGGCGGCATGTCGCTGTGTAGCGCAGCACGTATCGACGAGCGCTGGGAAGAGGAAGCGGCTGCCAACGCCGCTGAAGAATGCTCCACGAAGCCGCCGCGAGCTCTTCAAACAACGCATAGCTGGTCGTCCAGCGGGTCGAGTTGGGAGCTCCGTGTGTTTCCTTCTGTATTCATGATCGAAGGAGGTCGAGATCGAAACCTTCCTCGACAGACAATGCAATGCGAGTGCGGTCGGCTGTAGAATACCGTTAGCGTTCTCTGTGTCGTATCCTTACCCGCGCCGATGGAGCTCAAAGTACGACTGATGTGTCAAGTCAAACGTGCAAGGTTGGCAGTCAAAGATGCATCAAATATCGGTTCCGAGTTCTCTCGGCTGAGACAGAACGGGTCGCCGCTCAATATATCACAGCGTGTATAGTCCTCTTGCATCGCATGCGGCCACGTACCAGCTACTTCAAGGTCGATGGTCCATGAGTGACAGGCCATGTCGGCGCCTCGATGCTTGTCGATATCGCAAGGACATGGCAGCAACGAGCGTCTTAGAATGAGCCATTCATCTCAGAAGCACAGGAGGAAGGTGAGCGCGGAAGTGCCAAGCAGATCGCTCCGATACTTGGCGCGTCATCACGCAAGAAGATACTCGCCAAGGGCACAGGCGAACTTGAACCGCCGCGTGTACCGCACGCTCGTAGGCTGGACACTGTTGGACATCGGGCGACTTGTGACGCTCAAGCGCGCGCGCACCAAGTTCCTTACCGACTTGAAGCTCAGGATTTGTGGGTTGGTGATCATGGTTGATGAATGTGGATGTGCTGGAGACAGCGAAAGCATGGGCCGAATGTTCCAGTAGGCGCCAACGAACCACGATGCGCTAGGTCCTTGGCGCTGCACGACCTTTCAAGCACGGCGAACGAAGTGATGCTAGCTACGCACAGTACAAAGACCTTTGGTTGCTCGACGATGGCGATGCATTGGTCAGCCCAGCCAACTCGACAGCCGCTAATGTAAATGATCGTCCTGCGTGGAAAAACATGAGACAGCAACAACACTATGCCACAGCCATGGCGCGCGGGAGGCCGCAGCTTGCCTGGCTACGCCAGCAGGAGCTTCACGCACCTGATGTTTTGCGATATAGGCTTCGAGAGGTTACCTCTAATAGTGAATAGGCTTGGATCACGGGCGATTCGCACGGCTGCAGAAGACATGACGAGCCCGAGCTCGACGACGACGATCCAAGCGACCACGAGCGCTTGCCGCCTGGACGCCGTTGACGATACCTACTTGGGCACGCGCCAGCTCGGCGCCCGTCGACGTCGACGACTCTGTCGCAAGGCCTCGTTGTTCAAGCGGCACGGCACGCGCTGTCGCCCGCGCGTGTCGTCGAAGATGCGATCGCGCCTGCCATGGTCAAGTCGCCGCTCCTCGCGGCTTCAAGTCGAAAGCACTTTCTAGATGTAGCCTCTCGGCGTCGGCCACGGACGTCAAGGCCAAGACGGTCGTCAAGAAGCCCCACACGATCAAGCTTTGTTACAGCAGCAAGACTGGTCTCGTGCGCGTCTTCTCTGGCGATGCGCTTCTCCGGCGCGCCTGCTTGTCAACGGACCTCGCCCCGCTGCTCGCCCAAGCCTGAGGTCATGATGGCCCACGACGCTGGTCGCGCTTCAAATCTGGATCGAACGAGTGCGACGTCGTGTCAAGCACTCTGCGCGCTGCTACATCTGCACTTCCAGTCGATGCACCCTCGGACCGATGCTCGTCGTTGCCATGACGCCATGTACTTCGACGCCGACGCGCGGCGACAGTACGTGTCGCAAGGCGATGCTGCTTGTCGTAGGAGGCGCGTCCAAAGCGCTGCGGATGCCGAAAGTCGCTGTAGGTCGACATGAAACCAGAGTCTTTTCATGCTCAGGGGCTATGTATTATGCTACGTTTGGAAGCGCTACGCCTGGTTGACCTTCTTGGCCGGGGCGTGCATGGCAGGTCCGGCGGGGCGCTTGCGAGGCACGGTACTTGAGCGCTTGCGAGCTGGGGACGGGGCAAACGGGTTGGTGCCCTGCGATATATAAGTAGAAACGTGGAGGTAGATAAAGTCTGCATACCGTAGCCGGCTGTGGGGCAGGAGTCGCCTTGCTTCGCGCCTTGGCCGCTGGCATCTCGTTCAAAAGACCGAAGAGCGTCTCGTTGAGGCTGCCCTTGGTGCGCGCGGGCGTCGTGTCCTATACAGAAACGCGATGATGAATCGTCTGCCGAGGGTGGCAGATGGGCGTACGGCTTGCGGCGGCGCAGGTTGGCCAGAGGGCGACGGTGCCGGTGCCGCGTCGTCATAGAAGCCTTCCTCCATGTCCACGGCCGACATGTCCACGTCCGGCGCGCCTTGAGGTAGCGCAGACCAATGTGCCGGCGCGCCTCGAGGTGGCGCGGACCAATATGCAGGCGCGCCTTGAGGTGGCGCGGACCAATATGCAGGCGCGCCTTGAGCAGCCGCGTTCAGCTGTGCTGCCAGCCACGTGTTGTGCAGCTGGAGACTGGCGAGGCGGTCGCTAGCCACGCCGAGCGCCTCTTGGAGGCCGGCGTTCTGGACGGCGCCGACGGCGGCGGTTGTCTGCGCCTTGGCGAGCTCGATTTCAAGCATGTGCGAGCGCGCCTCCGCCGCCATGCGTCCTGCCTCTGCGGCCTTGCAGCGCGCGTCAAGAGCTGCGACTTGGCTCGTGTGCAGCCGCCGGGCCTCGTCGGCCGCTTGCTCCTGTTGGGCTTGCTGAGCCAACAGCGTCTTGTGCTGGGCGTGCGCGACGACCAAAGCGTCCTTGTCGTTCGCGGCCGTCGCCGGGACTGCTGCGTCCTTCTCTGTCGTGGGTGCGCTTGGGCTTGGGATTGGCTCCGGCGCTGAGGATGCTACCGAGCGGTTCTTGTCAGCCGGACGGTTGCGGGTTGGCAGCTGGGGCTCAGCTGACTTGTCGCTTGGCCCGCGGACTGGCGCCGGAGCGCCCCGAAGCTCCGCCTTGGACAGCGCCGGCGCGCTCTCGCGCAGTGGCGCATGCGCCACAAAGTTGTGGCGCAGCCACGACGTGTTGGCCGACAGGTCCACATCGGCGAGCACGGCCGTCTTCGACTTGGCGAAGACTTCCTGCATCTTGGCAGGCAGGTCGACGACAACACCGAGGGCGGCCGCCTTGTTTAGAGCGGCGATGACAATCGGTGCATCGACGACCAGGTAATGCGCAGCCGCCTTGGGTGTGTCGTTGTTCCCGACAGGCGCGGCGCCGTTCGACCCCGCGGCAGCATCGTCCGGGTCCACGACCGGGGCCGGGACCAGCGTCAAGGCCACGTTAGAGAGCACGACAGCGAGACGAAGCCCAGGGATATCATCGCCGCCGATAAAGCAAAGCTTGGGCGACGACAGGACAGCGTTCCGTGGGCAGATGGCCGCGACGCGCACCTCGTCCTCGTCCGTCCGTAAGACAAGGTTCGCGAAGCCCGTGGCTGCCGCGACACGGGCCGACTTGGCCGCGAGAAGGTTGGCACAGTGTAGAGCCGCCCACGTGCTCTTCATCCCATCGTGCAAGTCGCTGCCCGCCATCGCGAGGGCAAGGTCCTTGTCGCATGCCAAGGCGAGGACGAGCCCATACAGGCCATGGGCCGTCGCCGGCGGCCGCTCTTTGAGACCAGCTTTGGCCTCCACCACAGCTCCAAACCACTCGTCGACGAGGAACTTGACATGGTCGTCCTTTCTCTTGACGTACGCCGCCACGTCGGTGAACATGCTGGTCGAGGCGAAACCGGGAATGAAAATGGTCGAGTTTCATACACGTTTTTGATTTTACACCTTTTGTGCACAGCCTTTCCCACGTACAGAGCCGACAGCACTCGACACCCAACGACTGCGTACGACCTCGGTACGAAGGCGACTGTCGCGGCGCTCGGTCCAATTCCTACAACACCCCGAAACAACACCAAACAGAAGCCATTTCGTATTGCGACGGCCAGCGTCGACGGCAACGCGATCTTATTGCGTGCTGATACATCTACATCAATGTGTCAAGCCATCCAAGAATAGAAGAGGTCGTACTGTCGCGCGGCCGACAGCGCTTGCCGTGCCGCTTGATCAACGAGGCCGTGCGACAGAGTCGTCGACGTCGACGGGCGCCGAGCTGGCGCGTGCCCAAGTCGGTACCTGGTACCGTCAACAGCGTCCCTATTCACTATTAGAGATATTGTGATAATCAGCGTTTTTGGCGGATTTGAGCCCAATCTGAGCTGTTTATTCGCCCATCCGGACGAATTATCGGGGCGGATGGACGAATTAATCGTCCGGATAGCGTGAGTCACGACGATTTACAGATCCGGATCACGAGGGGAGGACGAATTACGGCCCCTGCAGGGCCTTCCGGGCCTGTTAAAAGGACACGTTACCGGAATAAGGGACGATTGGCGGGTGCAGATCCGCCAAACGCCGACTACGCGCAGCTATTCGTCGGGCCCGCAGAGCAATTCGTCCCATGCAATTGTGGCGCGGCGTTGCATTGACGTGGAAATGACTGGCATTCTGTTGAGTGGTGTGCTCAATAAGCTGCTCTGCAGAACGATGGAGGGGACAACCGGCAGGTGCCATCAACCTCTTGAGAACCCACACGGGCTAGACAACCATACTGAGGAGCTACGGACGGTTCTGCTTCCTTTCCCTCCTTGACTGCGCTTCGATTCCAAGCCGACGCTCGATGCGTTGGCGGCGCAGATCGATAGATCCATAGAGAATACAAGTGCTGTTACTATCGAGAGCTTGCTTTATGCGTGGCCCATTTCGAGGCGGGCGCTCCGCGCCCGCCGATTTTTCGCGCTGCGCGCGCACTTGCC